AAGCTGTTCATAAAAAATTACTGATAAAAACAAATTAGAAGCCACCTCCCTAGCAGTACAGCTGACTAGCTCTGCCGTCTGGACCACAGTGCACTGAGGCTACTCACCGCTGGGACTCTCACGATTTTGACCTACCTGGCACTTTCTGCCACTGCTACTGCAGCTCCTCTCTGAATAATGCAGCTCTCCCTGGAAAAGGAGTAAAGAAGACCAAGGGGCTATCACATCTGATCCTTTATCACCTCTTCCTGAACATGGAAGAAAAGTTCCTCATGAGGGAACCCTGAGAATTTTTCCCAGCTTCATCCTAAACCTGGAATCCAGACCTTCCACGCTTTACACTGGGTTTATCGTGTATTTTCTACTCAAAAATATCCCCGTCGTTACTGCAACCACCTTCTCCACCAACACAACGTTCTGTTGCTTATCCCTGTCACTAAAAGAATATGGATCATCTAGGAGAATCAGCCACTAAATCCAGTGGGCCACTATTCACCTAGCTAGATGAGTGAATCTCACTTCGATAAGCACATCCAGGATTTCACTGATTGGGAAAAGGTAACAGGCCTCGGTTCAGATGCCCCACTGTCTGTTTGATGTCCATAAGAAAAATATTACTCACGGTCTTGAAGGATTCTTGCCCAAAATGGCACCATGATAAAGAATACAAGGAAGCAAAGAATCACATGGGCTACCAGAACTTGATGTAGAATATAACATGTTGAGAGGAACAGAATCACGTAGCCAGTGGTGTGGAGCAGAAACTGTACAGAGCACCTCTGCCTGGCAGGAAAGGAGACAAATGCCAAGAGCAACTCAGATTTGAAGCTGCAAACCAAGAAGTTTCCGTAAACGCATCTCATTTTATGTGACAGAGCCGGAAGCACTTTGTAGTCTGAATGGAAACTAGTCTATATGACAGTGAAACCTTTCTCTGTATAATGTTGGCCCTAAAACTAAACCTTACCTTCACTGAAAATAAAAGTTTGGTATTTGGCAATACTTACTCAACCATCTCTCCCAACTCTACATTTTTTTCATTTTTCTGTGACTATTAATAATTAATAAAATGTGGTATGTTACTAAAGATTATCAAGTTATGACTTAACTATATAACTCAATCTGCCATCTTGAAAAGAATTAACAGCTTAATTGAGATTTACAAAATTCAAGGAAGGCAGGGAGGGCGGGAACAAGATAGAGAGGGAAGAGACTGGAAACAATCCACTCGTCTAAAAGTAGGGGAGGGGGGGCTTCCCTGGTGGTGCAGTGGTTGAGAATCTGCCTGCCAATGCAGGGGACACGGAATCAAAATCAAAAACACTGATTTCTCTTGCATTCCTATATACTAATGATGAAAAATCTGAAAGAGAAATTAAGGAAACGCTCCCATTTACCATTGCAACAAAAAGAATAAAATACCTAGGAATAAACCTACCTAAGGAGACAAAAGACCTGTATGCAGAAAACTAGATGACACTGATGAAAGAAATTAAAGATGATACAAACAGATGGAGAGATACACCATGTTCTTGGATTGGAAGAATCAACATTGTGAAAATGACTCTACTACCCAAAGCAATCTACAGATTCAGTGCAATCCCTATCAAACTACCAATGGCATTTTTCACAGAATTAGAAAAAAAATTTCACAATTTGTATGGAAACACAAAAGAGCCCGAATAGCCAAAGCAACCTTGAGAACGAAAAACGGAGCTGGAGGATTCAGGCTCCCTGACTTCAGACTATACTACAAACTACAGTAATCAAGACAGTATGGTACAGACACAAAAACAGAAATATATATCAATGGAACGGGATAGAAAGCCCAGAGATAAACCCACGCACATATGGTCACCTTATCTTTGACAAAGGAGGCAAGAAATACACAATGGAGAAAAGACAGCCTCTTCAATAAGTGGTGCTGGGAAAACTGGACAGCCTCATGTAAAAGAATGAAATTAGAACACTTCCTAACACCATACACAAAAATAAACTCAAAATGGATTAAAGACCTAAATGTAAGTCCAGACACTATAAAACTCTTAGAGGAAAACATAGGCAGGACACTCTATGACATAAATCACAGCAAGATCCTTTTTGACCCACCTCCTAGAGAAGTGGATATAAAAACAAAAATAAACAAATGGGAGCTAATGAAATTTAAAAGCTTTTGCACCGCAAAGGAAACCATAAACAAGATGAAAAGACAACCCTCAGAATGTGAGAAAATATTTGCAAATGAAGCAACTGACAAAGGATTAATCTCCAAAATATACAAGCAGCTCATGCAGCTCAATATCAGAAAAACAAACAACCCAATCCAAAAATGGGCCAAAGAGCTAAATAGACATTTCTCCAAAGAAGACATACAGATTGCCAACAAACACATGAAAGGATGCTCAACATCACTAATCGTTAGAGAAATGCAAATAAAAACTTCAGTGAGGTATCACCTCACACCGGTCAGAATGGCCATCATCAAAAAATCTACAAACAGGACTTCCCTGGTGGCGCAGTGGTTGGGAGTCCGCCTGCCAATGCAGGGGACGCGGGTTCGTGCCCCGGTACGGGAGGATCCCACGTGCCGCGGAGCAGCTGGGCTCGTGAGCCATGGCCACTGGGCCTGCGCGTCTGGAGCCTGTGCTCCACAACAGGAGAGGCCACAGCAGTGAGAGGCCCACATACAGAAAAAAAAAAAAAAATCTACAAACAATAAATGCTGGAGAGGATATGGAGAAAAAGGAATCCTCTTGCACCGTTGGTGGGAAGTAAATTGATACTCTATGGAGAACAGTATGGAGGTTCCTTAAAAAACTACAAATAGAACTACCATATGACCCTGCAATCCCATTACTGGGCATATACCCTGAGAAAACCATAATTCAAAAAGAGTCATGTACCACAATGTTCATTGCAGGACTGTTTACAATAGCCAGGACATGGATGCAACCTAAGTGTCCATCGACAGATGAATGGATAAAGAACACGTGGCACATATATACAATGGAATATTACTCAGCCATAAAAAGAAAAAATTGAGTTATTTGTAGTGAGGTGGATGGACCTAAAGTCTCTCATACAGAGTGAAGTAAGTCAGAAAGAGAAAGACAAATACCGTATGCTAACACATGTATATGGAATCTAAAATAAAAAACATGGTTCTGAAGAATCTAGGGCAGAACAGGAATAAAGACGCAGACGTAGAGAATGGACTCGAGGACACAGGAAAGGGGAAGGGTAAGCTGGGAAGAAGTGAGAGAGTGGCATTGACATATATATACACTACCAAATGTAAAATAGATAGCTAGTGGGAAGCAGCCGCATAGCAGAGGGAGATCAGCTCGGTGCTTTGTGACCACCTACAGGGGTGGGATAAGGAGGGTGGGAGGGAGACGCAAGAGGGAGGGGATATGGGGATATATGTACAGGTATAGCTGATTCACCTTGTTATAAAGCAGAAACTAACACAACAATGCAAAGCAATTATACTCCAATAAAGATGTTAAAAAAAAAAAAAGAAGCCATTGCTAGGAGGGAAAAACAAGTATCGTATATTAACGCATATATGTTGAACCTAGAAAAATGGTACAGATGAACCGGTTTTGCAGGGCAGAAATTGAGACACAGATGTAGAGAACAAACGTATGGACACCAAGGGGGGAAAGTGGCGGGGGGGTTGGTATGATGAATTGGGAGATTGGGATTGACATATATACACTAATATGTATAACATAGATAACTAATAAGAACCTGCTGTATAAAAAAATAAATAAAATAAAATTCAAAAATTTCCCCCAAAATACGTATTTTATACAGGCTGGTCTCCTGCAGCAAACATCTCTTCCAATATAACTGGGCCATTTTTTACTCACTCAAACATCTGTGTTTTTATCAGCTGTTTAGGAGGTCATAACGTCCGCCTTTCCTAAATTGTTTTCTTTTGTTACTTACTTGTTGGGCATCTTTCCCAGTTTCTGAGTTTTTCTGGAAGCAGAGGTTTTAACTAAGACTTTATTTTATTTTTTAAATTTTTATTGGAGTACTGTTGCTTTACAATGTTGTGTTAGTTTCTACTGTACAGCAAAGTGAATCAGCTATAAGTATACATATATCCCCCCTTTTTCTGATTTCCTCCCCATTTAGGTCACCACAGAGCACTGAGTAGAGTTCCCTGTGCTCTACAGTAGGTTCTCACTAGTTATCTATTTAATACATAGTATCAATAGTGTATATATGTCAGTCCCAATTTCCCAATTCATCCCACCCCCCCCTTCCCCCTTGGTATCCATATGTTTGTTCTCTATGTCTGTGTTTCTATTTCTGCTTTGTAAATAAGATCTTCTATACCAGTTTTTTCAGATTCCACATATATGCGTTAATATACGATATTTCTTTTTCTCTTTCTGACTTACTAATTTTTAAGTTTTCACTCACTGTCCTCTGTGAACTGTAGTTACAATTCCAATTAAAATCTTTGGATTCCTGGTTAATGATGCTAGATTCTACTTCTCAGTAAATTTATATTCCCAGATATCTAAGGACTATTAAGAAGAAGTGTGCACAAAATCCAATAGAAAAAAGGAAATGCAAACTTTCAAACCACAGGGACATTATTTGATAGGAAAACTAGTCCCTTTTAGTCAAAATGTTAGAAATAAAATTTTTGCTTAAAAAAATAATAAAACAAAATACTGTTCAGTCGTGGAGTCTGGGAGAAAGGACCCCAGCCTCGGCCAGGACTCAAGTCTCAGGTTGGGTCTGGTTACTCCTCTGTAGGTCCCCGAGGATGCCTGAGAGACCCCACATGAAGCCATGAAGCCAGGACTCTCACTTTCATTCCCGCCCTCTGCCCTGCTGACTTTTTAAATTCCATAGACCTTAAGCTTGACCCACAGTTTTTATTTTTACATGTGAAGAGGGTACCCACCACTCTCTAATTACAACCCTAAATCCCTAGGGTATAAGCAGCTGAAAGGAAATGGTAATGAGTTCCTTACCTTCAAGGTCCTCCTGATAGATTACGATTTCTTTATCTCCCTCCCAGTGGACTGCTGCGGAGAGAAAGGTCAGTGCTGAATTTGACGTCCAGAAAGCGCTGGATTCCCAGAATCACCTTTTTTTTTTTTTGCAATACACGGGCCTCTCACTGCTGTGGCCTCTCCCGTTGCGGAGCACAGGCTCCAGACGCGCAGGCTCAGCAGCCATGGCTCACGGGCCCTGCCGCTCTGCGGCATGTGGGATCTTCCCGGACCGGGGCACGAACCCGTGTCCCCTGCATCAGCAGGTGGACTCTCAACCACTGTGCCACCAGGGAAGCCCCCAGAATCACCTTTGTGTTACGACGACAGCATTCGCACTACTCTGAGGTCCTCAGAGTTGCTGTTTTGGAAGTGGTCTCAAAGAGATCCAGGGCTTCTTGGCTCTTTGTACTGGATTCAAAAGGCCACGCAGGGGGCCTGCGTGGGGATGCGGGGGACGCGGGTTCGTGCCCCGGTCCGGGAAGATCCCACATGCCGCAGAGCGGCTGGGCCCGTGAGCCATGGCCGCTGAGCCTGCGTGTCTGGAGCCTGTGCTCCGAAGGCCACGCAGGTAAGGAAAATGCAGTGACCCACTTAAAACCGTAATTAAGGGCCCAATCCCATTAAGGAATCTGGGTCATGTGAAATTAAAATTCAGAAAGGGAGGGGCTTGGCTTCAGCACCTTCTGAGTCTCATCATGTGTTGAAATGACATCAGTGGAGTAAGAAAAGTCTAATTCTGAACCAGTTTAACTGGATTTCAGTGAAGAGCCTTAGGAAGATGAAGCACCTTCGTTTCACAGTGTAAATGTCAGCCTGGCATCCCCACCCCTAACGTGACCTTGACGGCCACCCGGAGCCCATGAGGCACAGCTGTGCTGTGCTCAGCTCTGAAGATGTTCTCCAGGCTCAGATACAAGATGGGGGGAAAAGAGAAAGAACAAATCACACAAAACTGCTGGAACTTGAAGTCTGCGCGCCCTACCTTGTAACGGTTTGAGGTCAAGGGGGTCGAGGGCAGCCACAGCCTCAGAGACTCTGGAAGGCCGGCTGATCCCTGCATTGTTGACAGCCCGCACGCGGAAGATGTAGGACCTTCCTTCAAAAAGTCCGGTTACGGGGTATTTACAGATCTTCACGGGGCGGTCATTGCACTGAACCCAACTGTCAGTTCCCACTTCACATCTTCAAATAAAAAATAAGAGTAGAGAATAACAACTATATCAGTCTAGTAAGTATATAGAGCTGTATACATACATTACGCACATATATTATATATATATATATATCACAGTTACAACAGGAGAACATCTCCCACCGGTAAAATGAATGCTGTCGAAATATTGATTTACACAAATAGTAGTATAAATAAACTTTAAAAGACAGAGCTGTCTAGGAAATGTAGTATATACACATATACATCCCTGAGTCTTTCTAACTTATAGCTGAAGCTCAATTCCCCCCTTCAAAAACATTTAGGCAAAATCTCCTCCAAAGTTATTTCAGATCTATCCCTGACAGTTCTCTTTCAATTTACACCACAGAATCTCTGGGTGCCCCTAAGCTCCCTGGCTCGTCTGCTGCCTAGGCCCAGGAAATCAACGGTCCTTCACCCGGTGTCCCAAAGACGCATCTTTCTCCGCCGGGTCACAAAGTGAGTCCTCGCTGCGAGGCTGGCTCACCATCTACTCCAATCACGTTAAGATGTTTCTTTCTAGAACGCTTCTCATGAGGAATTTGGAAGTCTTTAGGAAATATTAAGTCCTGACCAGAAATCTGAAAATGTAGAAAAGATTGACCTCCATTTTTCCCAGGTTGAGAAATGTCAGTACAGAAACTGCATGTCAAATTCCTGCTGGCATCCTCAGCCCGACGTCACCATGCCCAGGCCCTCGTCCTCGGAGGGAGGAACAGGGCTGAGCACAGACCTGCCGGCCGGAGCCCCAGGCTGGACCCTCAGCGGAGCCTGCAGGCCGGGCTCAGAGCAAGCCTGGAGAGGCAGGGTGGGATTTGATACTGGTGCCAGTTAGGCAAACTGAGCCTCAGCCAGCACACAACGGAATCGCGTGTGGGTACACAAGGCCCCGCCTGGCAGGTGATACTTTCCAATTACCCAGCCAGGAGTGACTAATAACCAAATAGTGAAGTTACCTATATCCCATCAAGAACGGCGTCACAAACTTGAGATTAGAGAAATACCTACACACCTCGTCCTGGGTAATACTCTTTTGAGGAATGTTTCCATCCCCAGAGGAATCAGTGGACACTCACCGATCAACAAAATAGCCGATGACCGGGCTCTCCTTGGTCGTGTTGGGTGGCTTCCAAGTTACGATGACATAATCCCGGTTTACATCGTGGCACTGCAGGTCCATGGGCGCGCCAGGGGCCCCCGTGACCAGGGGGTCAGCATCTGGGGTGGGAGAGGAGAGGGGAGTCACATGATCAGGGTCCTGGGTGCGGGGGGGACAGCTGAGGCCAGCTGACAACTTCTTCAAACTCAGTGAGCTATCTGCTTGCTCTCCTCCCCCGCCTAGTCCTCACGCCCTTGATGGACTGGTGACGAGAGACATACATGTACCGACGAGTCTTTAAACTCGAAACACTCTGTCCTCTATGACACACTCAGTCTGTGATTTTCCGTAAACGAATCCAAGTTGAAGTTCACCTTCTGCGGATGGCACGTCATCACATAATGTCATGCCGTCCAAAACCGACCGATGTAATGATAATAACAATGAGGCCTTTTGAACACCTGAGAGATAGTACCTTAGACACTTGTGTGTTTCACAGTCCTCCGAAGGTCTGAGGACTTAGATTTTTTTTTCCTGCAAGTCGTGAGCACACTTTGGGTCCGTACCCATGCATCCCTTCCACAGCCAATTATGGTCACAGTGCAATTACGTTTGTTTTCAACTGTTAATTACGGCGGCACTGAAGGCCAACAGAGCTATTTAGAAAGTTAATACACTGCACATTTAATTTCCTCATGTAAAATGTGTATTTATTCAGGACCTAGGGCAGTTGGACCTTCTTAGCAGTGTAAGCACCGTACACTTCCTTGTTCCCATCTCCTCAGCATATTAAAAGCTAAGGATTTCTTCACACCAAGTCAAATATTGTCTCTCATATTCAAAGTCCTCAGAAAGTTGTCAGAACACTTAAACTCCCCATACGTGCATTATTTTCTTCCTGCTGGCTGCGCAAGCAAGGCAATGTCAGCTACTGCATTTACTGTGCTTTCATGCGGCAAAACACCTTGCTAGAAGGCACGCACGGAGAATGGAAGGCACATTTTAACGCCAACCGAATAAAAATGGTAAAACTTCGTGGACGTGTCTAAAACCCCAGCCTTGCAGGTTTATGCTGTCTGGTGGTGGGTGGGGGTGCTTGTTGGCACTTTTTTTTTTTTAAGTTAAAATATTCCCGGATGATACAGCCTTTCCATCATGCATGGATCTAACTGAAATGGTTTGGAAAAAATAATATACTGACAGTGTTATTCCAGGCACATATAACCTGGAGCCCGAGATGGGCATACAGGTGCAGGAGACACGGAGAACAGGGCAGGTAAGGCAGGGGTGGGGAATGGAGGGCAGAGTGGCCAGGGCCGCGGGGAGAGGAAGAGGGGCGTCCCAGCCAGGAAAGCAGCCGCCGGACACCCAGAAGAGACTGGTGTCCCGGGGAGGGGCCGGCCGGGCCTCAGCCAGGAGGGGCCTCTATGCCCGAGGCTGCTGCACAAGCTAGGGCCGGTGCAGGGTAAGGGCTTGGCTGGGGGGCACTCACTGCCCCGCACACAGGGCTGGGGCTTCGCAGGGGGCCAGCTCCTGCTTCCCAGAGAAGCGCCCAGGCCTCTGCGCTCTACACCTTCACTGGAGAAAGAGAGAATATTTTCTTCCAAAACTGCTGTAAGAACTTTAGATTATATATACATATGTGAATATGTATGTGTGTGTGTACACATATACATACACATATATACACCTGTATGTATGTATACACATATACATATATATAATATTATATATAATTTTATCCATTTTATATATCCCTTACATAAAAGTATGTATATGTGACATATACATCTACACACGTATGAATATATACACCTACAAGCCTATATATGATAGGCATTTATAGATAATACATAAATATCTATGTCATACGTATATGTAAAGATAAATACATGTATATATATATAACATCGACCACTGTGCCTGGGATATCACGAGCTTTGTTTTCCTTTCCATGAGTGGGATGGACAGGCTCTCATGGGCTGCTGGGAGGATGAAACATGACAACACGCGTGTCTCCTGGTGTAAACGCCCCGGAGGTGTGGCCCCCGTAGTTACTGTCTTAAACACACATGTGACTGAAGTCAGTGGTCATGACAGTGTCAGTCCTTCCTGCCACGGCCCTGGCCCTGTCACAAGGCCTAAGCGGGGGGAGAGGGGAGGGAGGCCCAGGCGGCCCGGGAACGGGCCCTTCCACTCCGGACCCCACTCCCCGCGTGGATTTCCTCCAGAATCAGCAGTTCGGGGCTGTTCACTCCAAGGAGTCATCCTACGAATTCCAGCAATTTATCAGCCACAGGGACACAGAGCTCCGCCTCTGCTCCATCCCCAGTGACACCTGCTTATGTCACGGATGCAATCGGGACGCGCCCAGGAAACACCTCCCGGTGGTCAGGCCATCTCCGGGGAGCAGCCTTGGGCTGCATCTGGGCCCCGTCCCACCCCACCCGTAGCCTGCGCACCTCGGACAAACAGGAAAGCGCTGTGGTCGCTGACCCCTCCCCTGGACACGATCCTCAGGGTGTAGAGACCCTCGTCGTCCTTGTTGAGGTGGCTGAAGGACAGCAAGGCCTGGCCGTCCCCAAAGAACATCTTTATCCACTTGGACTCCTTCAGCAGCACGTCTGGAAGACGGTCAAAGGAGACGGGCTTCAGGGACACGCAGGGACCCGGGGCACACGCGGAGGACAGAGGTGCCCACCAGCCTGACCCCGAGCACAAACACCCACGTGGGGCTGGGGGGACCGGGACACGCGGGAGAGGAGAGAGGTCAGCACATGGAGTGTGAAAGGCGGGACTCAGCTGCAAGGGGCCCTGCTGCGGCTTCGAAACGCACTTCACCCAGACGCTGACACCAGGAAGTCCCCCACCAGCGTTCCTTAGAAATTAATAACACAGTGCCAACAAACCAGTCAAAAGGCAACGAAACCAAAGAGGCAAATTTCGGGAGAAGAAAGGGAAGTGACGAAAAATACTCAACACTGGATATCAAGGAGACACAAAATAAAATCATGAGAAATTATTGTTCACCTACTGATTTGCCAACATCCATAACTGGAAAGTGCAGAGAGGACAGCCTGTCAGGTGCAGCCTTGAACCTGCCTGTTCCATTCGAATTGGCCAAGACTATGAAACTGCGGGTCCCCAGAATCCCAGGCACCTCCTAGTCACGGGAACACCTTCTAAGATCCATGCCAACATCCTCTGGGAATGTTAGGAGAACTCTCCTCGAATCCATTTCATTTCCAGAAAGGGTAACTTAGAATCTTAGAACTTAACTCTTAAATTAGAATTGCAAAGGGTAAATTTATCTCCTTTGCCACCACAAAGAGGCTCTCTCCCTTCCTCTCTCCTTCCCGGACCATGAAGATCAGACACAACTATCCTATTCCAACCGAAGAGCACAAGCCCAGTGCCCTCAGATCCCAGCAGCGGACTCCCGGGGGTTGCAAGGTCACAGGCATCTCCTCTGCACCTGGGACGCGTACCTGTTCCTCTCCTCTGCGCTTGGGCCCAGGGGTCCCCCTCCCCCTCCGCCAGCTCAGAGCTCTTCTCATCTGTCAACGGCCTATTTTTTCTTTCCATAAAGCTCTCCATCATCACCGCAAACCTGCTTTCTTGGCTAACTTTAACAGTGCGCGGGGCCAGTGCCATGCGTTTGGCAAATTATCACAGCCTATTCTGGGACAGTCCTTATACTTTACAGAGGCTCTGCTTTACCATTTTGTGTATTTTCCCCAACTGGATTATAAACACCTTATGGGCAGGAATGGCGTGTGACTCTGTGCTATTCTGCATTGGGTTAGGCCCTGAATAAACACAGGCAGAATGTTCTGTGACTGAATCCATAGGGAGCAAGCTCCCTTAGAAGCAGCAGCCAGAGATGAAGCTCCCTTCCACAGTCTACCCACACACACCACACACACACACACACACACACGTCACACATACACACACACACAGCTGACAACTTCTATAGTTGTCACCACACACAGCACACACACACACACCACACACATCACACACACACACACATGTCACACATACACACCACACACACCACACACACAGCTGACAACTTCTATAGTTGTCACCACACACACACCACACACACACACGTCACACATACACACACACCACACACACACATCACACACACCACACACACCACACACACACAGACACACACCACACACACACACACACAAAGACACACACACCACACATACCACACACACACTACACACACACACGTCACACATAAACACACCACACACACCACACACACACACCACACACACACACGTCACACATACACACACACACAGCTGACAACTTCTATAGTTGTCACCACACACACACCACACACATCACACACACCACACACACACCACACACACAGACACACACACCACACACACACTACACACACCACACACACACACGTCACACATATACACACACCACACACACACCACACCACACACACGTCACACATACACACCACACACACTACACACACACACTACACACACACACACGCCACATACACACACACCACATACACACTACACACACAGCACACACACATCACATCACACACACTACACACACACTACATACACACACACACTGCACACACACGTCACACACGCCACATACACACACACACCACACACACAGCTGACAACTTCTATAGTTGTCACCACACACACACCACACACACACACCACACACACACACACCACACACACACAGACACACACACCACACACACACACGACACACACAGACACACACACACACCACACACACACATCACACACACCACACACACACACACACACCACACAGCTGCACAGGGCAGCCCATGCTGGCTGGCGGAAGCAGTGGAGCAGGGCCCCGGGAATGGGGGTTCCCAGCCCTGCCACTTCCCGGAGGTCGGGGGTAGGGAGAGGAAGTTCCTTGTCTCAGCTGTCCACTTATGAGGGGGTTGACAACACTTCCCTCCCAAAGACCTGATGAAAATCAAGTGAGTTATCACACTCAGAATAGAGTCGGGACGCAACAAGCTCTAATAAATGGTAGCTGCTGTTTCAGCAGAGGAAAAACATAAAGACACAGACACCCCGCTTATTCCTCCTAATCACACGGAGACCCTCTTTATGGAGCTATAACAACCCCCATGACTCATCTACCTCCAGGCCTCCCTGCTAACCCCATTCCCAGGGAAGTTCAAGGTCAACGCGTGTCCAATCTGCCCCAGGCTCGCCTGCTTTGCTGCCCGCAGCTGTCACGGAGGTGGAGAAAGCGCCAGGTCAACACTAAGGCTCAAAACTCACCATCACCCCAGTGAGGCCGGGGTCCGAGCCCAAGCACGGCGGGTGTGGGGGCAGAGCGTGCAGGAGGCCGCGACACTCACCGTCCCGGTACCACTCGGCCCGCGGCTGCACCCGCTTCAGGTCCGGCGTCACCAGCAGCGTGCACTTGAGAGCCAGCGTCTCGCCTTCCCTCCGGAAGGTGACGCCGAATTTCTCCAGAAACCGGACGTCGAAGTGCATGTGCGGGATCACGGAGGGCAGGGGCACTGCACGGGGCAGAGGGCGCAGTCACACAGCGGGCCAGCTGGGCAAAGCGGGCCCCTCACCACCGCCTGCGCTCGCATCCTCACGGGCTGCGCTGTGGCCCGAGCGCCTGTGTCCCCCCCGTTCTCAGGTCGAAGCCCCGCCCCACGGTGTGAAGATATTGGGGGTCGCCTTCGGGTGATTAGGCTGGATGAGGTCGTGGAGGTGGGGCCCGGGATGGGGTCAGTGCCCTTGTAAGGAGAGGACGAGACCACAGCCCTTTCTCTCAGCTCTTCATGAGGACACGGCGTCCCACACCTGCTAGCTGGGACGCAGTGTCCCCTCCCTGGTGGGCATCTCGACCTTGGACCTCCAGCCTCCAGAACTGAGGGAAGTAACTGTGTGATGTTCAAGACCCAGGTGTGCTGTTTGTTATGGTGCCCGAGCTGACTCAGCCACTCCTGAAGAATCAGAAAACCAGCGTGGAGTGGAATCTGGTCATTTGTGCCAAAGGAGGATGGAAGGCAGAATGAGCAGGGGGTGCGTGCTCTGAGCCACATGCAAAGCGTAAAGGGTTTAAATCCTGCATCAGCCCCAAGATGTGTGAGCCCCTGAATCCATGGCAGCGACGGTCAGCACACCGACACCAGCCAGGAGAAAGGGCCTTTTGCAATACAGTTTGAAAAGAGATCTGATGCTTAGAAAATATTTTTCAATGATATGCTATGTCACTACACATTTTTCTGCACAAAGAAGGAACATAATCAACTTACCTCTGATCGGGAGCCCCACAGAATGCAACGGCTCCTCGTCACCTCGGAATCCTGCAAGACAACTGGCGATCACGGCGGAGAAAGAGGACAGAAGGTGGGGAGACAGTGCCCCATCCCCGCAAGACGGCAGACTCACTTCTCACCACCACCGCCGCATTGGTGGACACCTGTCCGTGCACGTTTGTCGCCACCGCCGAGTAGGTCGCAGTATCGTCAAAGTCCGCCCTTGCAGGGAAAAAAGCAAGACAGCGTCCTGAACGTGCTGTCGGGGGCCGGCCTGGTCTCTGAGAGTCAGTGACCCGAACTCGAGCACAGCCTTCCTCGACAGCAGCTCGTGTGACCTGGACCCCCGGTTCGTGAGTGATTTGTTTGAGAACAGTGCCAGCTCTGCCCTCGGAGCGAGGTATTAACTACAGACACGGGTGACGTCTGATCCCGTACGATGCCTTGGCTTTGGCTTTGCGGGGGAAGACAGTGTACTAGCACTTCCGGAAATGCTGAACCGCACTCTCAGAGAGAAGCTTGTATTCCCTCTGGTTCTGTTTGTCTACCTGCAGCATCCGTGGTTTTATCTTGTCAATGGGCAGCTCTAATGGCCTCAACCTCCAGGAGAATCAACCCCACCTCCCTCCCCACCAGGGGTTCCCTGCGCAGACCCCCCAAAGCAGTGGGATCGCCCAGACAGGAAGCACCCACTCGTGGGCGTAACGAAGGTGCCTGGACTGGACCCGCCTGAGGCCTCCGGGCCCGGAGCGTCGTGAGGGACGCGTGTCCACCCCCGGGAAGGACAATGGCCCAGGGACCGCAGAGCCCAGTTTCTCAGGGGTGGGGCTCCTCAGCTCCCCACGTCCATCCCATGGAAGCCAAAGCTTAGCTTCTGGCTATGAACTGTCTTCCCACCAGCTTCCCCCCAAAACTTGACGTGAGGACTCTTACTCAGCTGACTCTCTGCTAGTTACTTTCCGTTGGCTACTCTGTATAAAAGTCTCAAGTGCCCAGCAAGACAGTACTATTACCCTATTCACTTGGAGAGAAAGTAGAGCCTTTAAGAAGTTGGGTAAACAAGGTCCACAAAACTCTGAACTCTGCAGCTTTCTGGGCCTTCTGCCATCTCTCCAGGCATGGGCATCACAGGCATAGTGACAAAAACACAGAAAAAGTTTACTCAGACTTCACGTTTAGATGCTTTAAGCATCCAGTGACCCAGAGACAAACCCGTTCTTTGGAAGTCCTTCGTCATCTTATTGTATTTTCTATTCCACCTGGAGCTGGAGTTTCTTTGACCAAAACATACAGTGTCTCCAAGAAACGAGAGAGAACACTTCAGGGACCCACGCTGCCTGGGAAGAACCCCGTCCCTGCCCCGACGAGGTTCTAATCCAGTTCCACTGCGCCCGGTGATGCCACCTGGCCTCTTGTCACAGCCGCTGCTCAAGGGAGAGAGAGCCGCTACCGCAGATGTTCAAACCAGTGCATTACGGTCAGGCTCACCTTGGAGGGATACAGGCCAACCTCAAGGCCCCTCAACAAAACTGCAGTTCTAGCCTGAACGCATCACATTCGTTTGCCTTGCCGTGCCATTTCCACGTACACTGCGGGTACAGCGTATCGCCAGGGGCAGAGTAAGAGTGACAGTACAACACGTAAAAATCCCGTAACCATAACACGGACGCTTTCCCCATCACTGGCCATTAACGTTCTCTGCTGATCTACACACACACTGAGCATGCGCGCGCGCGCACACACACACACACACACACCCAACAAAGAGGCCACAGCAGCTACCTCTGGGAACACGGCTAGGGCTGGGGGTCGAGGGACGAGTGGAGAATTTCTTCTCTTCCATAACCTTAGGCTTCGCTTGGATTTTTTTTAACCTTGCCCTTGGGTTATTTCTTCTAAACAATGAAACCACTGTGTTTTCATAAACGCATTCTTCAAACAGGAAGTATTCTTCTGGGATTAGCCCTACAACTTGCTCTACAAAGATCCCTCCCCACTAGCGGGACTCACCCTCCCTGCAGACCGGAGGGTTGGGCCGCCCACGGGCATGGGCTGGGGAGTCGGGCATGGGCTGGGAAGTCGGGAGCCAGAACAATGCAGGGGAGAGGCAAAGGCTCCTGTACAGACTGCCGCACCAAATCCCCCGACCTGGAGGCTGGGATGGAACCTGACTGTGACACAGACTCAGAAGTAGGAGCCGTAAGGCAAAAACAGACGCCCCACCCAGAGCCGACAGACGGGGCAGCCCAGCACAGGAAGTGGCCCTCCCCCCGCTGGACCTGAACCAAGGCTGTCCCCGGGCCCAGCTGGTCAGCGTCGCTACCCACTGCTGAGTGAGGAGGTTACTGGTGCCTGAAGGACATCGAGTGCTCGAGAGGACCGTGCACAGACGTCACTCAGAGTGTGTCCATCCGTCACCATAAACCTGTTTCCGTCTTCTTCAATACCTCCCTCAAAGGCCTTTCTGGACGTTACTTAGTCTCGGTAGTCTCCAAACTGTGTCCCATAGTTTTTAAACCAAATCTCCCAAACGTGCTACCAATTTCTTCTTCAATATGAATTTCAGCAGTTTTTTAAAACAACAGTAGCAACACGCCCTGGACATACCACGTACTGGCCACTCACTGAAGCCCAGACACAGCTCCGTGCCGCGCGCGACGGCCCTCAGGCAGAGCTGCTCACGCCTTCCCTGCTTAACTGAATTACACTCTGAGATTTCAAGGTCAAACTTAATGTTCCCATTTGCGACCACCAATCGCTGTGAATCAGGACTTTTCTTCAATATTGTGCAAATCAGAATAAAAGCCGGGGCAAAATTATGTTTACTCAGACTATTACAGGACTGCAGTCGTCAGCCGCAAGTTCTGATTTCAGGTCTGTGCCCTCATCAGGCCAGCCTGATAAGTCTCATCTACTGACTTTTTTTTTTTTTTTTTTTTTTGCGGTACGCGGGCCTCTCACTGTTGTGGCCTCTCCCGTTGCGAAGCACAGGCTCTGGACGCGCAGGCTCAGCGGCCATGGCTCACGGACCTAGTTGCTCCGCGGCATGCGGGATCCTCCCAGACCGGGGCACGAACCCGCGTCCCCTGCATCGGCAGGCGGACTCTCAACCACTGCGCCACCAGGGAAGCCCTACTGACTTTTTAACAAATAAATAGTATGTATTTAAAACTTCTCAAATACGTTTATTGAATACCTACACTCTACTTGGGGGACACTGACGATTAAAATAAAACAATGCATTTGAAAATACTCTGCAACTGTATAGTACTGTATGAACTGTGTATATTATTAATTGAAATGTATCGCTGAATTCTTGGACTGAAGTTCAAAAGAGGTTCCCTTTCCCTCCCCGGAGAAGGTCCTCTCCTTTGCCTTTACATTCCAATGAAACAGCACGGATTTCTAAGCGTTTTGAGAACCGCAGTGAATCGCTCTCCATCGTTTCTTAGCTGAGGACAGCTGGAGGAACCCAAGAAGGAGGCTTGTGACGCAAAGAAGGGGCAGGAGAAGCCCCAGGCACCAAGCCCACCTGGACAGCAGCGTCTCCCGCCGGAGTCTGAGCTGCTCTTCAGTTGACTCACAGAATTAGGACCCCGGAGGCAGACGTACCTAACACTCTAGCGCTGATAGCCGGTCAGGTAACCAGTTAGCACTTGGTACTTAGCAGGAGGGAGCAGGCTGGGGAAAAGGTGCCTTGGAGGCAGGATCTTGGTGCACCACACACGTGCACACCTGTTCACGTGCACCTATGCAGAAGAGAGGCTCCACGGGGTCGTCTGATTTGTAAAGAAGCCCATGCCCCCTAAAAACCTCCAGACCCACTGATTTACTGCTACAGAGCCCAGGCAGGGCGCACCCGGCTGAGGGAGGATGCAGGCGAGAGTTAGAACTTCCGGTTATGCTAACTTCTGTCTCGTTCTTTTTGCGCATCTCTTTTGTAAATGTTTTACATTCTATAAAATACAGTAGAACATATACAGATTATAAATAAACACACGTGCATGTACTGGGGGAGGGCTCATACATATTTGTTGGCTGCCCTTGCAGGGGGTGGGCTGCAGGAAGCATGGCGCCTGGGGACACCGGACAGAGGACACAGCAAGGGACCAGGCAGGCAGGACTTTGCAGATTCGGAGGAGACCGTGCCCAACTTAAAATTCTGCTCACAGGTCACTTGGAGACCCACGTGCCTGACCACAGCCCAGGGGCCCCCAGTCTTCCTCTCCTGCCCGAGGCCACGCTAGGAGAAGCACTTTGCCAGCCCACAGAGCCTATTTCGAGCCTCTACTTCATGCTGTCAGCAATTGCAAGCAAGTGATTAAGGGGCAAACGGGTTTATTTTCTGTTTGGACCTCATCCCAGGATAGGCAGAGGTGGTATCCTTTGGTCTCAATTTTTACAAACTTCCATGGGGCACGTTTGCAGCCCAAAGTCTCCATCTGAAGTGCTCCCAAAACCACTCCAGGGGAGAAACTAATAACACTTCATCTATTTTAAAGAGGGGCAGGCAAACGTTTAAATGGCACATGAACTTCTCTTGTGTAGTCAGGCCCCATGTACTCAAACTCTTAAGCGGTGTTAACACGGGATTTACAACTTAATTCAAAGTAGAATTTGAATATCAAAGTCTAAAAATAAAGTGCAAGAAGAGATTAGCCCTGGAGTCGCCCTGCGAGGAGTGGGGAGCGCAGAGAGGTGAGGTTAGAATAAAACACAAGATAGGGTGTTCTAAGCACCTTTATAAAAACACGAGAGCAGCATGAAAATTCTTTGAAGAAATAGAACTCACCCTATGAGTCCCAAGAGAAAATCTTATGAGCATATAAAATCGTATGAATTACAGCTTAAATTCGAACAGTACCAAAGGGAACTAAGCTCTCTTTTCGGCACTTCAAGAATTCGGCGACAGTGGCCAAAGAATATTCATAGGAATAAATGTCACTCTTGTAACAGAAAGAGCTCATTCCCCAGCCAGTGGAGCAAAGGAGCCAACATATTCCTCACCACTTAGCCGGCCACAGGTCAGATGATGGTAACTCAGCAGTTTGGAATGAACAGCTGAGGTCAGCTGTAATTTGTGGGCTTCCCCCTGGCTCTTTTTTTCTGAAGACTCTCTACATTTCATCTGTTAAGAATGTCCCAATGTGGGTAAGAATACTGAGAGAAAAGTTAGTCTCAAAAATTTCCTTGTCCCAAATTCCTTAACTCTTGGCAAGCTGAGGCAAACTCCAAGGAATATATCTGAGGATACCTGGATACATTGGGGCCTCACTGATTTAGCTCACATGGTTCAAAGCTTCTCTTATCCCCAGTACAAATTTAAAAGTTGCCAACATAGTGTGAACAGGACTTTTTCATACCTGAGAAAGGGAATTCGTTTCTCTTTTCAAAACGATGACTAAAATTCAGCTTGCAAACAAACCAGTTGCTAGGGCACCCCAGGTTAGAAAAGAGTCACCCCACACACACACCAAATAAAAATACTCTTCAAAAGAAGGAAAGTTTCTCTTTCTAGATAGTATGGCTTACTGCCTGTGGAAATTTCTGGAAATTTTGGAAATTGAAGGAAAGTGGGATGCCTAGACCCCGCCCACTCTCAGCCTTCCGCACCCCAGCTGATGCAGGAGCCCCCAACCCTGGGGCTGATTCCGACCCCTCTTTTTCACTGACACCCACATCCAATCCATCAGCAGATCCTACTGCTCTAACTTCAAAATCGGTCCCCGCCCACCTCACTGGTTCCACCTCATCCACAGCGGTCCAAGCCCCACCATCTTTCTTGAATTTCGGCCAAGCCGTCCAAGTCTGCCCTACTATCCGTTCGCAGTCAGTGACCCTTTGGAAACAGATCTTTCACTTCCCCTTTGCCCCCAGTAACAGCCTTGTGACGGTTACAGGGTCCGGGGTGATCTTCACGGTACTGGTGACATCTCTACCCTTCTGTCCTATGACTCCCACCAACTGCTGCAGCCCTGGGGTCCTGAAGCTCCTTCTCGGAGCCTCTGCCCCACGCATGTGTCCCCTCCTCCATCCCCTTAGATGTCTTCTCCTCTAAGGCCTGCCTGGCCCCCCTTTAACACCACACCCGCCCCAGCACCAGGCCACATGCCCCGACCCCTGCACCCAGCATCGTCACCCTGATCTACTGTGTGATTCCCTTTTTATTACACTTAAGGCTTGCCGCCACGTTCTGGACCTCCAAGTCAGGAATCGAGGTTTTGGTCGCTTTAACACAAGTTCCTAGACTGTGGGGCACATAGTAGGTTCTCAGTAAACAGTGCCAGTGGGGCCCATGGGGCCAGGGCCTCCAGCTTTTCTAAACAGCCTCAAATTTACCTAGAGAAACAAGGCTATGACTCGACACAAATCTTAATCTTAACTGTAACCTGTTAGCCTCTGTCCTAATTAATCTGCATAATGTTACGATCTTTTTGTAAAAAATGAAAGCTGTGTGTACAGAAAAGCAGAGAGCAAATGAACAGCGGAATCTCACTTCTGTGAAAGAAAAATCAAAACGTGCTTGTACGGTTCTACACGTGTGTTGTGTAAGGGAAACGGCAGTGCTGTAAGTACACCAAAATACCGACCCTGGAGGTTGGAAATACGGATGAACTTTACCTTCTCTTAGTTATCTGTATTTACCGCATGTTTTCAATTTGCTATGAGAAGAAAATAAAGGTCATGTTTCCTTGAAGAGTTGAGCTTAGGAACCGTTGCCCAAGCCTGCAGGAGATGCAGCCCGGCTGCGGAGCAGGCTGTGAGGGTGTCTGTGCGTTTCCCCGCGGCCCTCACACCTGGCACTGCCGTCCTTCCTTAGGCCATTTTCTCCTTTCGTTCCCAGAACAGGAGCCCTGCAGAACCAACCACTGAATCCACATCCCTCTGGCCTGACCCCAAGGAAACAAAGGGAAGCCTCTACCACCCATATTTAACTCAGAAACACCAGGAACGTCACGCGGAATTCAGATGTGGTGTGAGCTGCCCGCCGCTTCTGTGTTTGGGAGGCTGCTCTCCTGGGCAGGTGCTGGGGCGCGGCCGTACCCACCAAGCCCTTACCTGTTGATCTCCAGCGTGTGCACCCCGTACTTGCTCTCAATCCTGTACTTTCCCGGCTCCCCTGCCTGGCAGACCAAGCTGCCGTCTTTATACCTGAAAGAGGGAAACACCTGTCTGAGCATAAAGGCCGACTGGCTGTTTTGCACGTGTCCCCACCTTCCTGTTTCCCATCCCCCGCCGCCCCTCGTGGGCGGGCGCGCGCGGGCGCGCGCACACACACACACACACACACACACGCAGCACATTTTCGCTCTGCTTCTGCCTGATTCACCACTCGGATCACAGGGCGGGAGCAGCTACGGGAAAGGTTCAGAGCCCACTCTTGGCTGTTTAAGGGGAGGTGGCTCTTGCAGGACTCAGACTACCTGGGCAACCCTCAACCTGCATGGGACAGAGCGTGGGCCAAAGGTCCCCTGGAATTTGTCAGGAACTCTGGATACATCACTCCAAGGACAAAACGTAACCAGTGCTGGTTAGGCCCTGGTCCAGCCTCTGGAGGGAGGCCGCAGTGTAGCCGGAGTGCACGTGGAGAGACCCAACTGCTCTGCACCCCGCCTGGAGGAGGCTGGCCTCGGTGTCCCCCCAGGACAGCAGGGCCACGGCTCCCCCTAGGGCAAGGGTGAGTGGCTCTCAGCCTCCCCGGCCCGCCTCGTGAGCAGCCAGAGGGTAGAGGCACTACCTTTCTGCTCTACTGCTGAGAGCCCTAACCCAGGACGCATGTGAAAGCACGATGTTGTGGCCAACGACAGACCCTGGGGACTCGGTACCAGCAAGTGGGAAAATAAATGAATATACAAGTGAGTTTTAGCAACATACGTTGAAACTAAAAGTGTCGTCGGTGGGGCTTATTTAATTTTCAGCGTCACAAGGCTCAAGGAGCCCTCTCACTGTGGTTCCAGAGCCTTGGAGTTTAGGGTCTCCACTTACATGAGTAAAAGCAGAGCTGCAGGTAAACACAGGTCATTTCTGGGAACCTGGTTTTCAATAAAAGCCCTCTGGAAAATCATTTGGGTCAATTGCACTAAAATGAAAACGCCTGCCTAGGATTTCCAGGGGCCTCTCCGTGTTTTCGTGCACGCATTTCCTGGTGAGTTTCAAGAGCATTGGTCCCTGGAGTAGGTGCCGCGCGCTCCCTGCAGGTGGATCTTCTCCACCCGCTCAGGTGAGTCAACGGCTGCAGATCCTTCAAAGGAAGAGCAGCGGGGCCTCCGCCCCTGGGAGGTGCCCCCACTCACCACTGCACCACGGGAGTTGGGAAGCCCTGCACGGTGAAGCACAGCTTGACAGACATCTGCTCCCAGATGGTGTGTGACCGGAGCTGCACCAGGATCTCAGGGGCTCTGCTCAGCCGCTCCTCACGTGAGTGCCTCTCCCAGGCCAGCCTGTCGTCCACCTGCCCCGGGAAGCAGGACGTCAGGGTGCCAGGGGCGCGAGGCTCCCGCCACCAGGCCCGCGGGCATCGTGCTGATGGCACAGCTGCACCCGGCACCCGCCCACCCCTACCGCGTGCTGCAGGGCGTATCTGTCCACGTGCTGCAGGGCGTATCTGTCCAGCTTGTCCCGGGCATGGGTGCGGGCCAGGTGCACGTCCTCCTCCAGCTGGGCCAGCTCGCTGAGGAAACGCTCCCGCTTGGCCTCCCCATAGGAAGCCACCAGTGACTGGTACCTGCAGAAGCCAAGATGCCACAGTGTTCTCGGGACACGTGCAAAGGGCATGTGGTCACTGAGGGCCTGGGACCAGACACGCGGTCCCCGGGGACTTCCTAAGTGGGCTCGAGGAGAGGGTGGAAGAGAAGCTACTTCTGCTTCTTTTGCAAGCTCTCCTCTGTGCGGCAACACACAGGACCCACTCGTTTTCCTTAGAGGCTGCCGTTTCTGAGTGAATTTAAGACTGAAGTGAAGCCTTCTGAACTAATAGATTCAAATTAAGAAATAAGTCTGTATTCTAGAAAAAGTAAAAGGATACAGTCAGAGCTTCTTAACCTGTCGGGGCAGAGAAATGAGGGGCATCTCCTTTCCAGCCCGAGGGCCACCTCTGTGGGCTCCACAGGTTACATCCTGGCACTGCCCGGCCCAGCGGTGCGTCCAGCCACCCTGTCACCCCTCCCCGGCCCCATCCCCTCCTTCACCACCACGTTCCCGAGGCCCCAGCAGAGCCAGAGGCTTGCTGTTCCCTGGGCTGCCCGGGAAGGGAAAACGACAGCATCAAATGTGCAGCCGGGGAGGCGGGGACCAGGTGGACGTGGCTCATAAAGGTGGGGTGTCAGACTGGAGGACTTTCTGCTCTGTGTGGCCCAGCGGCGTGGGGAAAGCCGTCCTAGAGCCCGGGCAGCTCCCCCCCCATCCCCAGCCTCTCCCGCAGCCCTGACTACCAGTTTGCGCTTCTCCAGACACAGCGCAAATCGCAGGCCTGGTGTCAGGTGTCCGGGAAGTTGGAGATTGAACACAGAGTTTCAGGAAACTCTGCAGCTTCTTCAGGCAGAACCGTGGAGACAGGAACTATAATAAAAGCTAAACCCCGAGCCAGTGTTGATTCAGCCTCGTCTTCACTTCCGACCAGCCCAGCCCAGCCCACACCTGCCTGCGTCCCCTCCCCGGACACACACCCACAATCTCCTCGCTGCTTAGAGGTCATCTCCTCGCCCCTCCGGCCTTTCCCCACACCCTCTGCTCATGGTGATTCTCCACGGAGGAGAACAAGCGTCTAGGTTTTTAGGCACGGGTGCACACACATCACATCACCCTAATCCCAACTGCCCGGCTCCCCTTCACTCATGGAGCCACACGCACAGAAATGATTTTGTAGGTCCCAGTGGGAGAGACAGCGAGCGCCTTGCTAAGAGGGCTCACAGGAACCAAGCTTTCCTGTCTGCAGCGAATCCCACTAAATGACAGCATAAGCAAAGGCAAATCTCTATTCGTGCCGCAAACTGTCCTGATAAGCTGAAAGGATCAGAAGTCCCACCTGGACCTCGTTTAGAATGTCTATGTGAATGGCACTTGTCAATAGCACCGCCAGTCCCGAATGTTTTATAATAAATAATAGAACTAGAATTGCTCCCCCTGGCCGGCCCAGCCCCAAATACTCTGATCTGGGGCATTGAAAAGGCACCCCTGCTAGTCTGTGATGGGGTGACTGTGACACTGCCCCCTTATGCAGAATGATGTCACTCATCGTGCATTTGCCCTAAAGACAAGCCCCTCGGACAGCTGCATAACACAGGGAGGCCCACTTCTCACAGGACAGAAGTAGAGGCATCAAAGGGACATTTCTAATCCCCTGTATCTTCCAGGAGGACATCTCCAGACCCTTCAGGGCACGCCGATGCCTCATTGGTATTTATTTGACGTGAACACACAGCTTAACGCAAACTGATGAACCCGTAACTCCATCTCTCTCCAAGGACCGATTTGTCCTGTAGGTTAAACTCATACCTGCCACAGAAGGTAAGGAATAAATACGTACTTTCAGGAAGGCCAGCAAGAGTAGTGAATTATCATAAATAAGGACTGGAATTCATCGAACTCCTCAAATCACCCTACACCGGGCTCCCTCAAATGGCAGGGACAGAGCAGGGGTTGCGTTAAAATCTCCATTAACTCCGGCCCAGCTCACCAAAACCTCCAATTACTTAGATTTACTTTTAAAGGAGGAAAGACCTAATTTCCATAAGACCTTTCACATGGGAGAAATGCACATGGGTTGTGAGAATAAAATACTGTGAGGGTCCTAAAATGCAGAATCCCAAAGCATGGGTGCTGGGCTCCGTGGAGAGCTGACACAGCCCTGACCTATATCCACTGTGCTTGCCCAGAGGGACTGACATTTACCCTGGGCTCCAGGGACACAGTAACATTATAATCAGTCATCAAGAATCAAAATACATTCTTGAGTCAGATTTGCTATTGCAAGAGTAGCTTCATGTGTTTTAAGAAGATTTCCAACAGCCAGGATTGTCACAAAAGTCATCTTGGCTGAACCACATCAATCATCGTAACCCACTCCCTGACTGTTCAAATTAATACAAGCTTCCTTTCCCCATTTATTTCACCCCAGGAAACTGAGGAGTAGGAACTTTATGGGATAAGATCACACCAAGGTATAACTGATTAAAATAAAATTATAAAGCTCTGGTCTTCTCACTCCCTGTGCCAAAACCTTAAGCATAGTAGGACCCTTTCTGAAATAATCCAACACATAAAAATCCAATTTCTTAATGTACACATTCTGAAGTGATTCTTTTACAAAAGAAGTCTTCACTTGACAATAAAATAAATTTTCAGGGCAAAATTCCCATAAGACATCTAAAAGATGATTCAAATTTTTTAAAAAATAAAGGCTAATCTTTTCAGCTATACAATATTTTTACTAAACAGATTCCTTAGTCATAGTGCAACTTTCAGACTGAAACACATTGAGCCAAAACTCATTTTCCTTCCGGTTTTGAGTGTTTTAGCGACACAGAGAAAACTTTCTAGAAATAAGTAGGAGGAGAAGGTGAGGGGGAAAAGATAGAGCAGATACGAAATGAAGCATACATGAGATGCTCAAGTACTCTGCTCTGAAAAGATCCAAGTCAGTTGACCACCTGTTTCTCTGTGATCTGGAAATAATTTTAAGACCGATGTTCTTAGTAACCCACCCCATTCCTGTGACATATTCCCCATGAGCTGAGTCTGTAGAAATGTGAAGCATGAGGGTCTACAGAACCCCCTCCCTTCAGCTCTGTGTCCACACGGACACGTGGCTGGAATCCTGGCCTCTCTTTGGAAGATTCCCCACTCAAGTCCCAAGCCTCACAGCTGTTCCTTAGTAGCCGAAGAGGCTGGTGGTGGAAATTCGAAAACTCCAACTCAGCCCTTTAGGTCTTGAGGCCTCCGAATGTGACCAGCATGCTTTCTGGAGAAAGGGAGTGAGTCTGGGGGCAGAGGACAGAGGCTTGAGGCCAATCCAGCTGCAACGTGTGGACAGTGGCCGTGGGTCCTCTGGACCGCAGGGCTCTCTTCTGCACGAGGATGCAGAAAATCCATCCCCAGTCGTTTCCTTGTCGGGATGAATCAAGATGATGATGGTGGAGAATAAGAATCGACTGAAAACGGTCGTGCGTGGCTTTCACTGCAGCAAGTGTTCCCTTCCCAGTTTGCACACGTCCCCTTTCAGCTATGCCCCGCCGCCTCATTCTCTGACTGCAGAGCCCCTGCCCAGGCCCCAGGGCAGCGCGCGGCCCCCCGGGGCTGGCCCAGCAGCAGGCAGAGAGGGCAGGGCGTTACCTGTGCTTCCTTTCCTGCTCGTCCTCTTCCAGCGCGGAGCTCACCCTCCTGGCACACAACCTGCAGGTGGTCCCCCCCGGTGCCGTCTGGCTGGACTCTCTCTGCGAGGACGACTCCTGAGTGACAGATTTCTGGGAAGACGTCTGGGTGGAAGCGCGCCTTGGCGAACATGGGAAAAATCACATGTGGTGGAGAAGTGTAAAAATGCATTGTCACAAACAACATCACTCCCTTTCCACGCCCCCAAACCATCCTCGAAATGCAGGTCACCCACACCTGCACATGCGGACACACACACACACACCCCTAAGTGTGGCCTCCAGCCCGACTGCACAGGCCCATCCCCCACAGGGACGTGCCCCCAGACTCAGCTGCACGACACCCCTGCCCCTCCCTCAGGCCAGCCAGTGCCTACCAGGCCCTTTTGGCCTGAGGCCATGATTATATATATATGTATATCTTAAGGGATCCGAAGCTCCCTGAGGCTGCTGGGAGGGGCACAGAATGTTTGGCTTTGTTTGTTACCAGGATGGCAGCTAAGCACAAAGGACCACAAGTGGTTCTAAATACAAGGGCTGGGGACGGGGACCTGAGGCCGGAGCCCGTGCCCGGCGTCCACCTCCTAAATTAACACCGGAGAAACGTGGGCGGCCAGGGCATGTGCCGCTGGCCCCTGCAGACGCAGAACCTCAGAAACTCACAGATGAGCCTGCGGCTTGACACCAGCCTATCAGGCAGTGAACAAAAAGTCTACCTTTGGCAACATTATTATTAACGTAGCAAAATTATCATTGAGATGGGCTTCCATCCCATCTTCACTCGGCCCCCATTAACTTCTGTCCCACTGACATTCTTTCCCATGGGTTTCCTTCTCATCGCCCTCGCTGTTTGGTGACCTTTTAGATTCTAGCTCTGGAAGGCACGTGAAGAAGAGTGAAGTCAAGGAGCAATTACTGAAGGTCCACGACTCAAGAGCTAAACCAGGGGCTAAGAGCCAGTCTACCAGGACCTGCCGGGATCTACTAGGATCTGCCAGGACCTGCCACGATGCCATGCAGTGCCCCACATAAAGTTTGCTGTGCAGCCGGGTCAGCCACGTTCCCCGTCTGGCTCTGGACACGGGCATCGGGGAGCACGGCCCTCCCTACCTCCCCGGCTAAACCAGTTCACCTCCAGTCTTCAGGGGACTGGATAAAGCTTCTTGCCTTGAAATTCAGACAAAGCTCGTCATCAAGGCTCGGCCTGCCCCCATCAGTGAATTACAACTTACTTTTTCGCTGCATATTCATCCACAAGGTACCTTGTTTGAATATTACGGTATGACTGGTCAAAGTGTTTGTGTCTCTTTTGGTAGAAGGGCACAGCAACAAGCGACATCTTTGTGGACACCTAGGAAAAAGAGTAACAAACAGAGCAGAGGTCCTGGAATTTCTAAAGTAATCAGGCTCCTGCAATTCACACTAACCTTTTAGGTTGTTCCAAAGAGGAAAATCAACTCCAATTAGCAAAACCCTTGTGGGGGAAGAGAATGTAAGAAAGAGTCTATAAGAGGAAATAATCCTGGACGCCTATTAAGTTCCCTGGGACCCGACTTCATTTCTTGTTTGCTTCCATAAAAATTAGAAGATTGAGCCGCACGTTTCACTTAATTGTAAACTCACCCAATGTCTATAAACTACCTAGTTTGTTCAAGGCAACCGTGAAAAGCAATGTGAGCGATAAGGATAAAAATAATTAAAGCACAGGTCACAGAAGTAAACAAACAGAATACAAGAGAGGAAGAGATAAGAGCAAAGGAGACACAAAACGTGCTGGGAAGTAACGGGGGGGGGGGGGGAGCACGTGGCCCAGGGCCACGGCAGTCAGAGGCCCTGAAGCAGGTGACATTTGAGAAGAGCCCATGGACTGGGGAGGTGATGGGCGGAGGTGGGGCGGGCAGAGGGCATCCCAGGGGCAAAGTGGGAAGCAGGAAAACCCTGGGGCTCAGGATCTCGGGAAAAGCAGACAGGAAACGTCGCCCCGGAAAGCATGCAGCCACATGGAGGTTTCGGCATCCACGCAGGAGGTGAAGATTCTCCTGCTCTGAAGGGGGGTTTGAGAACAGAAAGGTCTCCAGGAAGCCTTCCAGACCCAGTCCCCTAAAATCCCATCTCACTGGCTACTTGTCGGCTTGCTTGGTTGGGAGGGGCAGGCCTGGGGGCTGAGCCCAGCTCCAAAGTCTGGGGGATGCGGGGAAGTGAGTGCTTTTGGCTAACTTCTCCCCAAACAAGAAGTCTTCGAGACCCACCCTGCAGCAAGGATGTGGGGATTTGAAGCAGTGCAGGTATTAGACGGCCGTTTGCTGCACGTGTTCACCCAAATAAGTAAAATGCCAACTTACCGGGCTGCTTGACTCTCTCTAAAAAGGGACGCAGACAATGTCCCTAAATCCCTGTGATTTTTTTTTTTTTTTTTTTTTTTTTTTTCGGTACGCGAGCCTCTCACTGCTGTGGCCTCTCCCGTTGTGGAGCACAGGCTCCGGACGCGCAGGCTCAGCGTCCACGGCTCACGGGCCCAGCCCCTCCGCAGCATGTGGGATCTTCCCGGACCGGGGCACGAACCCGTGTCCCCTGCATCGGCAGGCGGACTCTCAACCACTGCGCCACCAGGGAAGCCCGCCCTGTGATTATTAACCTCCCAAATAAAGGGGCACAAGAACTCCTCCAAACCCGAGCTCCATTTTTGTCCTCTGTGTTGAAATTGGAATAATCTGCCCTGATTTAAAGAAGGATGCTTAGGAGGCCTCACAGCACAGCCCCAGGGGACACGGGGGTGGAAACGGGCAGAAAATGCCAGGTCCTGTCCTGAGACGGGCCCTCACCCTCATTCCTCATTGCAGCGCACATCTCTAAGCAAATGTTAGAAAACCTTACGAGCATAGAATTTGCTCCAAGTCTATGTCTCAGGATCCGTTCCCTTTAGACTGTGATTTCCTAGAATCACAGAATTATAGAGCTTGGAAAGATCCTCGGGGATTATCCAAACCCCTATTCTATGGGGGGAGGACGAGTGGGGCAGGGGACCCGACAGCCAGAGTGGAGAAGTGATTTCCCTAAAAACATACAAAAAGTGCCTGCCCATCCAGAGGCCACCAGACTTCTCTTTCGGGGTCTTCTATACTTCTCCACACTAACTCATCTCAAAATTCCCTCCTAAAAACCAACTACCACGTCTCCATTGAGGGTCCAGCGTGTGTCTTGCATACATTTGACTATAAATATATAATAGAATGCTGCACCTAAAAGAACCCAATAAAAACATACCCCCTCCATTCCACCCCCGGTTTGAAAGAGGTACCATAACGTTGAGGTCAAGAGCACAGGTTTTGACACCTGACAGGCCTAGGATTGACTTCCGACTCCAGCACTACTGTGAAGTGACCTTGGGCTGACCTATCATTTCTCTATCTTGGACGTTCTACTGAATCTGCACAGTGCTGGCACCGTGCTTGGTAGGGAGGAACAAACAACTGGGAGCCACCCCTAGCACACTATTGTTTGTTGTTGTTAAGTTGAATTCTGCAGGTGTCTGAAAACATGCACTTATCACTTTAACACTTGCACAATATCCTTGACTGCATCTCTGGGATTTTCCAATGAGTTACTCAGGGTGAATCTTCAAGGAAAGCTTCCGCCCATAAGGTACGCACTCCGTTGCTGGGGACAGGTCACTGGATTGATGTGTTGGGGCACACGGGTCATCACTTGGAGCCAGTTTCATCTAGACGCCTTCTCCCATCACCCCTGCACTCATGGAGGAAAAGTCAGCTACAGCAGAAAACCCCAGAACAGCCCCTGCACCTGCTGTTGCACCAGTGGTCCTGTCCCGTCACAATATTTACTTACATCTGTGTGGAGTCACCCTTCAGATCCGGGTGTGTTTCTTGGCAGAGGGAAGAATCCAAAAATGGCCTAGGTGACCGGAGAGGATAAGCTATCTCGACATGTTTAGAGTGTGGCAGCTAGCACCCTCAGAGCTCCCCCTTGGTGGGACCCTGCTCCTGCTCAGAGCCAGCGCCCTGCGGGCTCCGAGTGCAGTCAGCACCCGGCGTGTCCTGGGCTGACGTGACGCCAGTGTGGCCGCTGAGTCCTCACGCCTCCTGCCGGGAGCAGGCGCTTTGTGGCGATCAGGGGCAGGGCCGGAGTCGAGTGCACGTGGTTCCCGCGCTCTCGCTCTGACCGTGGACTTGCTGGAGGTACGACCCCCAGAACACCATGGGACTGCGGCGGTACCCAGGGCTCAGCCCACGTGATTCTCTGCTAGCTGAGTGGACATGATGCTGACCCACCCACACTTGGAGCACCTGCCCTGCCCCGCGCCGGCCAAGCCTGGACCGGGGGGCCATTGCATTTCAAGGACAGAGACATCTTAGGGACGCCTGCTCCGGGGAAGGCAGCAAACTCCCACCTTCTGTGCATGGGGCCCCCTGCCCGCACTCACTGACTGTATGAGCCTTAAGCCCAGCCCAGGTGCACAGGAAGGGCCACCACACAGCCCAAGCCCACGCCAGGCCACCCATTTGGGCTCTGCTCAGTGGACCTCAAATTCCAGAACCTGGGGACTTCCCTGGTGGCACAGTGGTTAAAAGTCCGCCTGCCAATGCAGGGGACACGGGTTCGAGCCCTGGTCCGGGAAGATCCCACATGCCGCGGAGCAACTAAGCCCGTGAGCCACAACTACTGAGGCTGGGTGCCACAACTACTGAAGCCTGTGTGCCTAGAGTCCGTGCTCTGCAACAAGAGAAGCCACCGCAATGAGAAGCCCGCGCACCGCAACAAAGAGTAGCCCCCGCTCACCGCAACTAGAGAAAGCCTGCGTGCAGCAAGGAAGACCCAATGCAACCAAAAATAAACAAATAAAATAAAAAAAAAAAATTCCAGAATGTGCCCGGGTGTCCCTGTCTCCACTGGGGACCTGCAGACAGGGGGGAGGACGCCTCGTGGAAGCGAGTTCCCTGCAGGCTCAGCATGGGCTCCGACCCCCCTCAGCCTGGGGCCGTGAGGGGCGTGGCCAGCTGTGCTAGGGGGACCCCACTGAGAGGAGGGTGTGGTGGGCGGTGTGCACAGAGCTCTCTCCACTTTCTCCTCTTTAGGGAAACGACCCCCAGCTGACGCCTCAAAACACAGCGAAGACAGCGGCCCCCAGCACAGTTCTGGGGGATGAGTCCGCATGGAGGGGGCATCGGGGGCGGGATTCCAGCGCTGACCCTGCCGCCCACCCAGCTCTCGGGTCTCAGTTTGTTTTGCTGAGAACAGAGGGGCCAGAGGAGGAGGCAGGAACATTCCTTCAAGCGCCAGCAGCGCCTGGATCTGTGGCCAAGTTTAAAACCACCGGAGGCAACACCGCTCCGCCCACTGACCGCCCTCAAATACCACAGAAGCAGAGTCGACCTTGACGAAACACACAGGCTCTGGTGTTTTCAGCAATCGTGAGTGAATTTACACAACTTGAGATGCGTCACCTTATTCTGTCCTGGTTCGAATCTCGACCTTTCCTATGAGGAAACCGCTTCAGGTGATGAAACTAACCCTCAGGTCACTGGTTCCCGGTGATGAAGCCAAATTTCCAACCCGGCGTCTGACTCGGCACCGGGCTGCTTCCCACCCATCATCGCTCCTGACACGTTTGGGAATCATGACACTGAAATGAAACGCGAGCCTGTCCTCAAGCACTGGGGGCCGTGCGTCCGTGACAGGCTCCATCCTGATCCCTTCCTGCGAGGACTATTTGGAACCGATCTCTCATGTCACCAAGAAGGGTTTTAATCTGTGAAAACGTTTCAATGAAAACACATTTACTTCCACTTAATAAAAGAAATTGTTGTTTGTGCAGCTAAAGTTGTTGAAGTCCATGAACACACCAAGTTAAAGCTCTTCTGGAGAAACAGAAAGGGCACAGTTGGTCCACAGCCCCAAGGAACTATGCCCTCAGTTCCCAAGACGGGTTCCATTCACATCGGGGACTACTTTCCCCAAGGTTTTTCCAAACTACTCGGCTCCGAAAGTAAATATAACTGAGCACAGCATAACTCTCAAAATCCTCACCATCCAACGTGGCCTGACGTCTAATGTCTGTCAGCCAGCTTCCCACGTGTCCCCCAAAGAGTCTCTCAGCCCCAGGACTGAATGTCTTAGCAGGTCGCTCAGCTACCTCTCTCCCTGAAGCTCCAGGGTTCTCCCAGGGAGCCTGATCCATCCGGGCCCAACACTTAAGCAGGATCAAATTAGATGGAGAGACAAGATAATGTGCTGCTTCCTGGACAGAAGCTTTCCAGCAACCCAGCGACTTACCGCATTTTTCATAAATTGCGAGAATTAAAAACAAATCAACGGTTACACAAATATTTCATC